AGGATCAGTGGAGGATTCCTAATGGAGATGTCCTTCGGACTGGACCTTCCTGGACAGGTGGAGCTTCACAGGTAGAGATGAACATGAGTGTAGGGCTGGAGAGGTGTCTGGGTGGCCCCTGCAGCCAGGGTCAAAAGTTGGACTCCATCCTGGTTGGACAGGGCAGAGGGAGGAAATGTCCCACCCCCCTGCTGGCTCCAGCCTGGGCGGGATGTTCCTGGGGGACAATGAGAGGAAGTCTTCTTCCTTCACATCCTTCCACCAGCCTGGCCCCTTATAAGCTAGCATCCTCCCTCTGGTGACCCCAGAAAGATGGGCCTCCTGTGGACCCCTCTGTCCTTGTTGCTGCTCCTGCTTAAGGGTCCTGCCTGCCTGAGAGCCCAGGACCACCCCAGCTGCCCAGGTAGGGGCCTAGGGTCCCCTTCCCACCAACCCACCTCTCATTCTCTCCCTGGATGTCCCCCCACTCAGGCTCACCAGTCCCAAGGAGCAGGGTGGGAGTTTGAGCATCTGGCCTGTACATGTAAATATATGCAAATGGGATGCAAATCACATAAACCCTTGCCAGCTCAGGAGACGAGAATCCTGACAGCTAGAATCTGGGAGATGGAAAGAGAACTGCAGAGGGGTCTGGGAGAGACAGGCCCACCCTGTGCCCACCCAGCTTGTGTCTCGCTATAGGACCGAGGGAACTGGAAGCCAGCAAAATTGTCCTCCTGCCCAGTTGTCCTGGAGCCCCAGGAAGTCCTGGGGAGAAGGGGGCTCCAGGTCTTCAAGGTGAGCGAAGTGAGAGAGGCTGGGGAGCTGGCAGAGCCCTTGGGGGAAACTGGGGCAGCTGGGGAGGCAGCAGTCACTCTGTGGCAGGAGCCACGGCTAAGGGCAAGGAGCCTGCTCTGTGCCAGGCTCCAGGCTGGGCACCCAGCATCCTACAATCCACTGTACCAGGTAGGCAGTGTCAGCTCCATCTACCAAGGAGGAAAGTGAGGCCAGGAGGGGATGAGTTTTTTGCCCACGGTCACAGAGCTAACGAAGGATGAAACTGGGATTTGAAGCTTCTTTCTCCAAATCCCTTGGGGTTTATTGTTTGTTTGTTTTGTTGTGGGTATGGGGCAGGACTCAGGGCATCTCTGCCTCTGGGATTTCAGGGCAACCTGGACCGCCAGGAAAGATGGGTCCCAAGGGTGAGCCAGGTGAGTGTGTGGGCTGGTGGCCTCCCCTCCTTTCTCTGCTGTGTCCCTGAAATACAGGGTGGGAAGTCTCCACTTGGTGCTGCTCAGTGATGGCTAGATTGCCCCCCACAGAGGGATGGGAGGCTGGGAGGAGTGGGGGGATTAGGAGAAGGGCCCGGGCTCCTGCTCCATTGTTGGTTGATGGGCCTTTCCCTGGGGGTGCTCAGACCTCAAGCCGACACTCAGTCTTCTCTGGGCAGGAGATCCAGCCAGCCTGCTCCGGTGCCAGGAGGGTGAGCAGTCTCCGCAGGCGCCAGGAACTTGGACTCAGGCGGTGCCAGGGTGTCGGGGGACCCCCAGCAGTGGCCAAGCACCTCCCCACAGCCCTCCCTAGGACTCGTCCTCAGGAGCCTAAAGGAACCCAGAGGGCTCCTGCACTCCCACACTTGATCCGGTGCCTGGGTGTGGGGTTGGGGAGTAACTTGGGGGGCCGCCTCAGTTTATGTCCCCTTTCCAGGCCCCAGGAGCTGCCGGGAACTGCTAAGCCGGGGCGCCACCTTGAGCGGCTGGTACCATCTGTGCCTACCTGAGGGCAGGGCCCTCCCAGTCTTTTGTGACATGGACACCGCAGGGGGCGGCTGGCTGGTGCGTGTCTGAGAAACCAACCGGTAGGCCAGGCCCAGTGGTCACTTCTGGCCCCGGCCCCTAGGGGGAGCCAGAGCCCACGGAGCAAGGCGTTCCTTAGCGACTCACTGCGCCGTCTACTGAGCTTCCAGCCCGGCCTGAGGAACTATGAGGAGGCTTCACAGAGGAGGTGTCATTTGAAAGAAATGTGGAGGCTGCCTAGAAGTTCTCTAGACAGATGTGGCGTGGGGGGCGTTCCAGGTAGAGGTAAGGCAAACTCAGGGAGGCAGAAGAGTACAAGAGGGTTTGTGGGGACCATGTGGGTAGGCTGAGGTTGGCTGAGGCGGGCCAGGCATGGACCTCTGCAGAGGCCAGGACATGAAGGACGCCAAACGACCGGCAGAGGAGTGTGCAGGGCACTGGGGAACCGGGAGGGACAAGGTCAGACTTCTGTTATAGAAAGATGACTCAGGCCACACGGTGCAAGATGCATTGCAGTGGGGGCACAAGCGTGGAGGCAGGGACACTGTTTAGGACAACTGCAGGAGGCTGGGCAAGACGGTGGACAGTGGAGCAATGGAAATCAAGGCACTTAAGTCGAAAGATATTTAGGAGGAAACTCCACAGGGCCTGGGTGCTGCTTGTCTTGTCTTGGAGGGACATCCGGATAAGGCCAGGGTCCAGCTTGGGCCTCTAGGGGGTAAACTCTCTGTTTCAATATCCTGGTTAAATTAAAGCAGATTATTTTGAGTGCGACTCCCAGCAGGACTGACTGTCTCCTGAGGGCAGAGACACTGCTTCTGTCATTTCAGACCTCCCCAGGACTTGCACGGCTGAGGTGTGAAGTTGAAGCGTCAGTGTCAGTAAAAGTTAATAAGAAAATGTGGAGTTCATCAATATAGCAATATATTCACAAGCAAAGCTCACTTGAAAGAATTACTTTTTTTTTTAGAGACAGGGTCTCACTCTGTCTGCTAGAGTGCAGTGGTGCAATCATAGCTCACTGCAGCTTTGAACTCCTGGGCTCAAGCGACCCTCCTGCTTCAGCTTCCCAAAGTGCTGGGATTATGGGCGTGAGTCACTGCACCGGGTCAGAAAATGCATTCTATCAACAAGCCAAAGAGAGAGGAAATGTCTACCCACCTCTCAGAGCTGGTGCATGCTCCCACACCATTTCCCCCGTGTGCTTCCCTGCAGCCCATGCCCAGCCCCGAGTGATGGCTGGTCTGCCACCCTCTCCTCCCTAGGTGTTCCAGAGGCGCCTGGATGGCTCTGTGGATTTCTTCCGCACTTGGTCCTCCTACAAAGCAGGTTTTGGGAGCCAGGAGTCTGAATTCTGGCTGGGGAATGAGAATTTGCACCAGCTTACTCTCCAGGGTGAGTTCCCTGCAGGGTCTGGGGCCCTGAAGGGTACTGTCTGCTGTCCTGAATGCCCCCCACCCTGGGATCTGAGGGTTCCTCCGTACCTGCCTCCCCTTCCTTTCAGGTACCTGGGAGCTGCAGGTAGAGCTGGAAGACTTTAATGGCAACCGTACCTTTGCCCACTATGCGACCTTCCGCCTCCTGGGGGAGGCTGAGCACTACCAGCTGGTGCTGGGCAAGTTCTCAGGGGGCACTGCAGGTAGGTGAGCCTCAGGTGGGGCCCTGGGGAAGGAGGCTGGATCCCAGCACTGGCACTACCTCTATGAATAACCAAGGGCAATTCCTTCCCCTCTGTGGGCCTCAGTTTCTTCATCTGAGAAATGGCACTTATGGCCGGGCACGGTGGCTCACGCCTGTAATCCTAACACTCTGGGAGGCCGAGGTGGGTGGATTGCTCGAGATCAGGAGTTCGAAACCAGCCTGAGCAAGAGCGAGACCCCGTCTCTACTATAAATAGAAAGAAATTAATTGGCCAACTAATATATACAGAAAAAATTAGCTGGGCATGGTGGCGCATGCCTGTAGTCCCAGCTACTCGGGAGGCTGAGGTAGTAGGATCGCTTGAGCCCAGGAGTTTGAGGTTGCTGTGAGCTAGGCTGATACCACGGCACTCACTCTAGCCTGGGCAACAAAGTGAGGCTGACAAAAAAGAAATGACACTTATGAGATAGGATGGCACAAGAGTGAAGAATTTGGGCTCTGGAGGCAAACAGACCTGAGTCTGAGCCCAGCTCTAGGTGACCTTGGGCAAGTGCCTTCCTGGTCAGAGCCTTACTCCATCTCTGGGTGGGGAGAGGGAAGGGTTGTGGGTGCCGTGGGAGGCTGTGTTGAGAGTTAGAGGGTTAGCCTTCTCTACTTTGGAAGAGGAACCAGGGAAGGCTTCTTTCAGAGCAGTGGTGACTGTTGGGGAGAGATTTGAAAGGGGGAAGTGGTTATGGGGAGCTGCCTTGGGGGATGCCCCTTTCCTGCCCAGGTGTCCCCAAGGTTCCTCCTGGCCTGGCCCTGGCAGAGTTGCTCAGGCTGCTGCTGGGAGCCCAGAGGAGACAAGAGGAGACAAGGAGCTAGAGGGAGGCTGGGGATGGGGGGCTGTCGGGGGAGAGATGAGGCAGGGGAAGAACTGTTGGTTTTGGAGCCAAAGAGTCCTGAATTCAAGTCCCACTACCACTGTGACTAGCTGAGTGACATTGGGCAAACAACCTGGCCCCTTGGGGCTACTGTTTTCTCATGGAGCCTGATAAAATTCACTGCCATGTTGCTTTGAGGCTCCTATGACATAATATCTCCAAAGGTGCCAGACATGATTTGGGGAACCAAGATTCCCTCCATCCCCTCCCTGCCAGGGGACTCCCTGAGCTTCCACAGCAAGAAGCCCTTTACCACCTATGATGCGGACCACGACTCGAGTGGGGGCAACTGTGCAGTAGTTGTCCATGGTGCCTGGTGGTACGGATCCTGCTATCGATCCAATCTCAACGGGCGCTATGCCGCGTCCGAGGCTGCCGCCCACAAATACGGCATCGACTGGGCCTCAGGCCGCGGTGTGGGCCACCCCTACCGCAGGGTTCGGATGATGCTACGCTAGGACACCCTGGCAGCCTGCACCCTTATCTCTGCCATACAGCTTCCTACCCGGCCAACCGCCTCAGCTTCCCTGTCAGCATTTAAAAATAAAATCATTTTAACCCTTCCTTGGCTTTTAGGACTCTTCTAGTCACTGGAAAAACCCTAGAGGGCAGAGCAGGGACACAAGTTTCAGCTCCACTCAGGAAAGAACTTCCTTCCAGTCAGGAAGATGGAAGGGACAGCTTCATAAGGTAGTGAGGCTTCTGTCTCTGAAAGCATGCAAGACAAGGCCAGAGGAGCATGTAGTGGAAGGATTGGAGGAGATTCAAGCATCCAAGGACAATCTCCCTGGCCCTTCAGGTCCTGCAGGTGGTTGGTTTTGTGGTGGGAATTGCACAGCTTTTCCCAGCATCCTCTGCATTGCTCAGGCCTGCCCCTTGTAAGTTGTCTGTTTCCCACCGTGGCCTCTGTCATAGGCCAAGTGCTCACCCTCTACTACTTCTCACTTTGTTCCATTGGGGGCCGATTTGAATTCAGGGTCAAACTAAGGAGGGTACATTTTTCTTCCAAGGGGCAACAGGGCAATGAAATGGCAGCCACTGGACTAGCATTTATTGAGCAGTTTATTTGTCCAATGTCGCATTCTAGTAAGTGACAGAAATAAATTGTTAGGAGTCTGGCGGGTAGTCCTGTGGTTGCACCCTGCTCTGTCATGTAGCTGAGTAATTTTGGCCAAGTTACTCAGCCTAAGTCCCCAATTCCTGGTTTCTGGGTCCACTGAGGTTTATACCAGGTTGTTGCTTCAGCCCCTAAGTCACACAATGAAGTTAGGGATTCTTGGGGATTTAAAGCTGGAAAGCTGTTGCAACCCAAAGGGCTAGGGTTTCTAGGTTTTCTTTCAAAGAATGGCTAGAGAGATGTTTACAGTGGGAAGTGCTTCATAGGTCCCCTGGTCATGTTCTGGGTAGAAGGCAGCAGGGCTCCACAGCGGGTTGGGTTCTGGGGAAAGCAGCTCCACACAAAAAGGTAAAGGCTGTGGCTCAGATGCCCAGTCCCACTCCAGGGCTGAAGACTTGTGGGAAGGCTGGCCTTCCACGTTCCGGTCCTTCCCTGTAGGTGCGAGCCCTAGAGAGCTGTTCTGCACCATGTTCTGCACACCCTGACATCTCTGGAGAGTCCTTCATTCAACAGATCAGGTGCCTCTTCCTTAGCTCTGGTCTGGGCACACATCTCATGAGCCCAGTCCACAGCGGTTGGCATGCATGGGAGGCATGGGCTATTCTGGAAGCGGCCAGTCCCAGACGTTCTAGCGGGATGGTGTAACCAGCTCCATGAACCCCTATGTTTTATATAATCTTCTCCCTTAACTACTTGACCCTTTGAGTTGTTTCCCAAAAATGATGGACCTCAAGTGATCCTCCAGCCAGGGCCTCCGAAAGTGCTGGGATTATAGGTGTCAGCCACCACACTGGCCTGAAATGATGGATTTTGTACCAGACAAAGGAGTTGAGACTCTGAAAGCCCTAGGGCAGACTTCCTGACGCCAAGATTCATTATTCCCCCCCACAACCTGCCCCCATGCAGGTAGCCCCTTGTGAGATATACCCCAATCTGCCCCCAGGTACTGTGGCCTCCTCCTTTAAAAGTCCATGACATCCCTTAGTCGAGAGATGGGTTTGAGGCAGCTTCTCCCGTTGTCCTATTAAAAATTCCTTTCTTCTTTGGCAATCCTCATAGTCTCAATAATTGGAGTTTTGTGCGACCAGCAATTGGACCTACACGGAACCCCCCCAGCGGTTTCGACTAGAGGAGGGAGGGGAGAGGCCGAGCTGCTAGGGAGTGGCGCTGCCTTAGGGCCGAGGGTGGAGCTTTCCCCGACCGGGAATGGGCTGGGCCCAGCCTACACGTGAAGGCAGGACTGAGCGTGGGCAGGCGGTCCCTTGAGGAGTCCGGGAGGCAGCCACCGCCAGACCGAATCCCGGGAGTCCCCACGTGACTCTGAGTCGCCGATCACCGGATGCCCCAGATTCTTGGGACCCAATCCCGGATTTCAGATCCTCAGGAGCTTGCAAGCCCGAGCTCGGATTTCTTCCTAAACTTGATTCCCGGAACGGGACGTCCGGCCGGATTCCGGATCCCCAGATCCCGTAGAAGATTGTCCGATCCCGACCGGATTCCCGAGCCCGAGATTCCTGGACCGCAGGCCCAGGCTCCTGCCCCGCCGCGGGTTCCCAGCGCCCCGCGCCCCACTCCAAGCGCCCCGCATGGCGGGGTCGTGCGCCCGGTCCGGGGCGCAGCGCGCCGGCAGCTGCTGGCAGGACCCGCTGGCCGAGGCACTGAGCAGGGGTCGGCCGCTAGCTGGGTCCTCGGGCCGGGGCTGCGCGCGGAGCCGGCCGCTCAGCGTGGTCTACGTGCTGACCCGGGAGCCGCGGCCCGGGGTGGAGCCTGGGGAGGGCACCGAGACCGAGCCGCGGCCCCTGCGCTGCCTGCGCGAGGCTTGCGCGCAGCTCTCCGGGCCGCGGCCGCCGCCGCAGCTGCGCAGCCTGCCCTTTGGGACACTGGCGCTGGGCGACACCGCGGCGCTGGACTCCTTCTACAACGCGGGTGAGCGCGCGCCGGGGGCGCGGCCACTCGGGGCGGGGCCGCGGTGGGTGCCGCGTCTAGGGGCCTTAAGGTGAGGCAGAGCTGCAGGACTTGAGGCGGAGACCTGACAGAAGTCAAATTTGGGGGATCCGGAGTGCTCCGGGCTTGGGATGGGGCCTTGGGATCCAGGCCGGGTGCCGGGGTGCCGAGTCGGGGCTTCCGCGCCCTTCAGTCGCGGCTGTGCCCCGCGAGCCCGGCGAGGACCGGGCGGAGCTTAGGAGGCCTGGGCGGGCTGTGGCGTCCCACGGGTGGGGCTGGAGAACTCGGCCTGGGACGGTCTCGCGGGGACCTCCTGAGGGCAGACCCCGGGAAGGAAGCTTGGGGTAGGGGCAGGAGCTGCACCTGGGGTTCAGGGGTCCTAGCATACTACTTCCGAGGATCGGGCGAGGGAGGCAGAAAGGGAAGCGAAGGGACGCAGCGGGACGGGATTCTCGGAAAGGGAGTTGAGAGTTCGAGGCCCAGACGACCTGGAGGGGATGGGCGGGGCAGGGGCGGGGCTAGAGGAGGGCCAGGGCCGACGGGGGCGGGGCCGAAGGCGGCCGTTCCAGCGCGGGTCACCGCTCCCTCCCGCCAACCCTGGTGCCCCGCCCCGGTACTTGTTCATCCTGGTGTCTGGGAGCTGTGCTTCCTGAATGTCCGTGAAATCGCAACCTAAAAATGAAGGCTGACCCGACCTCGAAGACACATAGACACACACGGTCATCGACAGACTCACAAACCGCATACATGTTGACTTACCCAGGCTCTTGCAGGCCCTGTCACACACAGAGATACAGTGGGACACAGTAAGCTATACACACACGTACAGACACAGCGTTGTCTACACACATTGGTGGTGCCGGTTCCTTTAAAGGGACTGGGTTGGAGATCCAGGGAAGGGGACCTCTGTGTGTACACAACTGCCTCCCAAATGGCCTGGAACAGGGTCTGAGCTGGGGCACAGCCTTCCCTCCCTCATGGCCCATACTCACAGGCTCTGAACAGTGGGACCAAGGTCCCAGCCCAGTGATCCCAACTCTGCTCTTGCAACACCATAGATATCAGTTCTGTGAAAGAGCCAGAGGGACCCTAAAAGTGGGAAACTGAGGCCCAGAGCAGAACCAGACCTTGCTTTGCTGGTGTCCCACAGCAAGGCAGGCTGAGCCAGGATGGATCCCAGGGTCCTTTCCTGTCGAGCTGGGCCTTGGGCTCAGGGCCTGCACCTCTGTGCCCGCAGACGTGGTGGTTCTGGAGGTGAGCAGCTCTCTGGCACAGCCCTCCCTGTTCTACCACCTCGGTGTGCGTGAGAGCTTCAGCATGACCAACAACGTGCTCCTCTGCTCCCAGGCAGACCTCCCCGACCTGCAGGCCCTGCGGGTAGGTGGCCAGGGGGCGGTGGAGGCAGGCGCAGGGTTGGGGTGGCGTCTACCCAGAATACCAGTTTCTGACTGTCTGCCTCCTGCAGGAGGATGTTTTCCAGAGGAACTCGGTGAGCAGAATCCACCCCTCATTCCAAGTGCCCTTTGACCTCCACTGTGACCTCTGACCTCTACTAATCTTCCTGGCCTCTTCAGTTACCTCTGACCCCCTAATGCCCTCTGATATCCGTGTGACCCTCTGTTTTGTTTCCTATTGCCACCTCTCATGAAGTGTGCCCTTTCCTGCTGTCCCAATCCCCACTGGTGCTGACCTCTGACCCCATCACTGCCCCTCTCTAGCCCTGTGCTGACCTCTGATCTCCACTGATTCCTGCCTCCCTCCCACCAGGATTGCGTTGGCAGCTACACACTGATCCCCTATGTGGTGACAGCCACTGGTCGGGTGCTGTGTGGTGACGTAGGGCTTCTCAGAGGCCTGGCTGATGGCCTCGTACAGGCTGGAGTGGGCACTGAGGCCCTGCTCACCCCTCTGGTGGGCCGGCTTGCCCGCCTGCTGGAGGCCACACCCACGGACTCTTGGTAATGGGGGCGCCCAGGGAGGGCTCGCCGGGAGCAGGCTGGTGAGGGTACCGTGGGCCGGGGCCGAGACACAGGCCCCACCATCCTCTCTCCCTGCCTCATCTGTCCGGCTGTCAGTGGCTATTTCCGGGAGACCATTCGGCAGGATATCAGGCGGGCACGGGAGCGGTTCAGCGGGCAGCAGCTGCGGCAGGAGCTGGCCCGCCTGCAGCGGAGACTGGACAGCGTGGAGCTGCTGAGCCCCGACATCATCATGAACTTGCTGCTGTCCTACCGCGACGTGCAGGTGTGCGGTGTTCAGAGAGGCAGTCGGGCAGCGTGCATTTGAGGTCAGACAAAGCCAAGTTCAGCTCTCAGCTATGCCACTTGTTCACTGGGGGCTTTGAGCAAATTATCAAACTTCTCTGAGCCTTGGCTTCCTTATTTGTAGTAGGGGGCAATCATGTCACTGACTCCCAGGGCAGTTGTGAGGTTGGGAACACCCAGCATGGGGCACACAAGGGGAGCTCCCTGTAAGGTGTGGTGTCTGCTGTACCTGTGGGTCTGAGGGATGAGCACAGAGGATGGCAGGTGGGAAGGTGGGATGTCAGGTGGGACGGGACACTGGCTCAAGATATTCCTCAGGGTCTGGGGCAATGATGGCAGAGCTTGCTGTCCCTCATGCAGGACTACTCGGCCATCATTGAGCTGGTGGAGACGCTGCAGGCCTTGCCCACCTGCGATGTGGCCGAGCAGCACAATGTCTGCTTCCACTACACGTTCGCCCTCAACCGGTGAGTGGCAGAGCAAGGCTGGGGTCATAGCCACATGGAGGTCGCTGTGGCCTGGGTCTCTGCTATGTGAAGTCATTGCTGTCTGGGATTCCTGCTGTTCAGGGCGGCTGCTGTCAATAGGTCCCTATGTTTTGGGTTACTGTTGCCTGGGTGGGACTAGGGGAGGTGGTGCTGCCCTTAGTGAGGTCACAGCTGTCCAAGGTCACTCTGCCTTAGAGTCAGTGCATCTAGGAATCACTTCCATCTGAGGTCACAACCCTAGAGAAGTCAGTGCTGGCCAGGATCACTGTCATTTTGGGGTCATTATAGTCAGGCTCCTGGAAAGGTCCCTGCTATTTGGGGTCTAGGGGTCCCTGGACAGAATGAGTCAAGGTCACCAGACAGGTCCTGAGCCCACCTTCCCCCTTCCCTAGGAGGAACAAGCCTGGGGACCGGGAGAAGGCACTGGCTGTCCTGCTACCACTGGTACAGTTTGAGGGCTCTGTGGCACCTGATCTATACTGCATGTGTGGCCGTGTGTACAAGGACATGTTCTTCAGCTCTGGCTTCCAGGATGGTAGACACCGAGAGCAGGCCTATCACTGGTAAGGAGCACAGTGAGTGGCAGCCGGCTGAGCCAGTGATCTGAGAGCCAGTGATCTGGTGTCGTGGCATCAGTTGGCCCTGTGCCCCACCCCAGGTACCGCAAGGCTTTTGATGTGGAGCCCAGCCTCCACTCGGGCATCAATGCCGCTGTGCTCCTCGTTGCTGCTGGCCAGCACTTTGAGGACTCCGAGGAGCTCCGGCTAATAGGTGAGCCCAGATCCTGGCTCCCTGTCCCTTCCTGCACAGGGCCTTAGAGGGGCCTGGGAAGAGGTAGGGAGAGAACACTGCACAGGAGCTAGGAGTGAGTTCATTTGTTTTGGACTATTCTGCCTATACCCAGGCGAAATATGAGGACCCACTGGGTCCTCATACCTGTCCTGGGCCCTCAGGAGCCCACAACTGTCCCCAACCTCATACCTGTGTTCAGTGCACCCTGTATACTTGTGCCCAAACTCTCACCTGTGCCTGAGCTCCTACTTCCACCTGAGACCTTGCTGCCCAACATTTTACTTATATCTATGTTCATGTCAGTCTGAGTGGTAGGCCTTACCCACACCTGCACCCACACTTACTGGAGCCCACACCTGTCTCCCCAGGCATGAAGCTGGGCTGTCTGCTGGCCCGAAAAGGCTGTGTGGAGAAGATGCAGTATTACTGGGATGTAGGTTTCTACCTGGGAGCCCAGATCCTCGCCAATGACCCCACCCAGGTGGTGCTGGCTGCAGAACAGCTGTACAAGCTCAATGCCCCCATATGGTAGGTGGCCCCCTCTGCATTCTTGGCCTGGCCTGAGCTGCCAGTTCCTACACCCATGCCCATTGGCATTCTAGCATGAACCCTGAGCCAATGACCTGGTCACTTTTAGACCAGTGCCTGTAGCACCCAGCACCCATGTTCTGGCTACGTCCAAGCCAGTTTACTCTCCCTGGCAGTGCCGGCTGGTGCCTGGGCTGAGCTGAGGACAAGGCTGTGCCTGCAGGTACCTGGTGTCTGTGATGGAAACCTTCCTGCTCTACCGACACTTCAGACCCATGCCACAGCCGTCTGGAGGACCTCCACGCCATGCCCACTTCTGGCTACACTTCTTGCTACAGTCCTGCCAGCCATTCAACACAACCTCTCCCCAGGGGGATCAGTGCTTGGTGAGGCCATAGGTGAAGGGGACCTGGGGAAGGAGTGAGTCCTTTCTGACTTACCCCTCTCCTCCACTGCCCACAGGTGCTGGTCCTGGAGATGAACAAGGTGCTGCTGCCAGCGCAGGTGGAGGTTCGGGGTAGGGACCCGGTGAGCGCAGTGATCCTGAGCCTGCTGCATGGGGAGACCCAGGTGAAGTTGCCTCTGAGTCCCCTACTCACCTCTAACGTGGAGACTTTCTCCTATCCTCAGACCCCTCTCCTGTCCCCAGGACTCCCCATCAAACCCCATTTCTTCTCGCAGGACTTTCCCGCCAGGTGGACCTTCCCAGTTGCCTCCATCTGCGGAGTCAGGTGAGAGGCAGGACCTGGGGCAGACCTGGGTTGGGGGAGACGGGCGGTTGCCCCGGCTGCCAGTATCTCATGGGTCTTTCGTCCTTTCCCAGTGCCTCCAAGCGGGACGAGCGCTGCTGCTTCCTTTATGCGCTGCCCCCCGCCCAGGACGTCCAGCTGTGCTTCCCCAGCGTAGGGCACTGCCAGTGGTGCGCGCAGCCTCTCGTGGTCGGGGTACTCAGAGGGCTGGGACGCCCAGGGGAGTAAGGGAAAGGAAGGAACGACGTCCCCCAGGTGCTCCCGGCTTAGGAGGGGACGGTTCCTGTCCAACATGCCCCGCCACCTGTCTGACCTCCCCTGCCCTCAGGTTCTGCAGCCTGATCCAGGCCTTGGTGACGAATCCGGATTCCTCGGCGCCCACGGAAGCGGCAGGGGGCGTGGGAGAGGTGCTGGAGGTGAGAACGCGGGACTGGGATCTGGAAGAGGGCGACTGGCTGGGGGCTCAGCTGAACCCCCATCTCGCTCCCGCCCCGCAGTTTGATTATGAGTACACGGAGACCGGCGAGCGGCTGGTGCTGGGCAAGGGCACGTACGGGGTGGTATACGCGGGCCGCGAGCGGCACACGAGGGTACGCATCGCCATCAAGGAGATCCCGGAGCGGGACAGCAGGTGCGGTGCTTGCGAAGGGGCGAAGGGCTCGCGGGGGGCCGAGTGGGCGGGGCTGAGGTCTGGAGGGCCGAGTGGGCGGGGCTGAGGTCTGGAGGGTCGGGTGGGCGGGGCTGAGGTCTGGAGGGCCGAGTGGGCGGGGCTGAAGTCTGGAGGGTCGAGAGGGCGGGCTGGGGAAGGTCCGAGTGGGGCTTGTGGGCGGGGCGGATCCCCGGGGGTGGCCTGGCTGGTACCAGAGAGGGTACTGGAAAGGCTTCTCTGCCCAAATCTGTCCCCTTCCTTTCTCCCTACCTCCCCCCAGGTTCTCTCAGCCCCTGCATGAGGAGATCGCTCTTCACAAACGCCTGCGCCACAAGAACATCGTGCGCTACCTGGGCTCAGCTAGCCAGGGCGGCTACCTTAAGATCTTCATGGAGGAAGTGCCTGGAGGTACCTGCCCCATGTGGGATGAGAATGAAACCAGAGGTGTGGGGCATGGGATGGGGGCCGGAAGGGTGGAGAGCCCTGAGGGGAATAAACCCTAGCGTGTGTGGGTGGTGTAGCCCAGAATTAGCTGACGGAGTGGCTTTGGGTGATGGAGTCTGGGCTATGGCATGGGTGTGTCTGGGCCTTAAGTGGAGAAATGTGGGCTGGAATAGTGGGTGCCAACAATGAACTTGGACTGTACCTGCCCAGGTAGCCTGTCCTCCTTGCTGCGGTCAGTGTGGGGACCCCTGAAGGACAACGAGAGCACCATCAGCTTCTACACCCGCCAGATCCTGCAGGGACTCAGCTACCTGCACGACAACCATATTGTGCACCGGGACATCAAGGTAAGCCCCAGGGCAGGCCCACCCTGGGCTGCTGGGGGTTGCAGGGAGGGGAGGAGACATGGTCTCAGAGGCTGGCAGTTTAGAGTAAGTGGACAAGCCTGGTGCAAAGGGTAGGGAAGGTTCCCTAGAGAAGAAGTTCAGCCCTGAAGCCAAACCAGATGCCAGCTCCCAGAGGACCACATAAGTGGGATGGCAGGGGGAAGATGATGTTAGAGACAGGGCCAGGCTGGGATCTCCAGGAGACATGGTCCCAGGAAAAGTCCAGTTCTGCTCTCAGGGGCCCAGCTCAGTGTCTACTAATCACCATCAATCAGGGGGACAATGTGCTGATCAATACCTTCAGTGGGCTGCTCAAGATTTCTGACTTCGGCACCTCCAAGCGGCTGGCGGGCATCACACCCTGCACTGAGACCTTCACAGGTAACAGGTGTGGGGCTGGTGCGTGGGGTTGCTGATCTGGAGCAGAACTCCCAAGGCCTTCTAGGGAATAGTGTTTCTCCCATTAATGGAGTTACAGTCCTAATGGGGGACAAAACCCAGGCAAGTGATTCGGCCAGGAATGAGGGGATATACTCTTGAACTGGAGCTTGGATAATTGATGAAATTGAGGTTAGCACCTGAAATGGATCCCAGGAGTGTTGATGCAGGCCACTGTGGGTGTCAGAGGACAAAGTAGGTAATAGAGTTCAGGGAGTATGATGCAATCCAGGATGTGTGATGGAACCCTACTGTGGGTGATGGAGTCCATGAGTGTGATGGAGCCTAGGATGAGTGTTGAAAGCCTTGGCAGGTGATGGAGCCTAGGGTGGGTGATGAAACCCAAAAGATGTTTGATGGCCAGGGTAGGTGATAGAATCCATTTTGGATGATAGATTCAGCATGGGTACAGGTGGCCAGAGGATGCTGGAGTTCCCCTCCCCCACATAACCCCCACCCCATGAAAAAGCCTAGACAGACATCGTTGCTCCTGCTCCTGTCTTAGGGACCCTGCAGTATATGGCTCCAGAAATCATTGACCAGGGCCCACGAGGGTATGGGAAGGCGGCTGACATCTGGTCATTGGGCTGCACTGTAATCGAGATGGCCACAGGTCGCCCACCCTTCCACGAGCTGGGGAGCCCACAGGCTGCCATGTTTCAGGTAAGACCCCACAGGGTCTGACCCATGGAGGTGAGGTGAGGCCAGACTGGGCCTTCAACACCTTGAACTTGACCTTTGTTTTCCCTCCTCCCTCAGGTGGGCATGTACAAGGTGCATCCACCAATGCCCAGTTCTCTGTCTGCTGAAGCCCAAGCCTTCCTCCTTCGAACTTTTGAACCAGACCCCCGCCTCCGAGCCAGCGCCCAAGCACTGCTGAGGGACTCCTTCCTACAGCCTGGGAAGAGGAGCCGCAGCCCTGGCTCTCCCCAACATGCTCCACGGCCCTCAGGTTCTTTGAGGGTGGGGGAAGGGAGCACACTGGAGGGCTGAAGAGCGGTGGAGGTGACAGAGCTGGGGGAGCCCAGCTGACAGCCTTGTCTCTCCCTCAGATGTCCCTTCCACCAGTTCTACTCCTTCAGCTGACGCGACCACACAGTCCCAGACTTTCCCACGCCCTCAGGCACCCTCTCAACACCCGCCCAGCCCACCGAAGCGCTGCCTCAGTTATGGGGACACCAGCCAGCTCCGGTGAGAACCTGGGGTCCTAGGGGTGGGTTTCCTTTGCTTAGTTTTGACTTTGTACTCCTTCCAGAGAAAGCCCTCCTTGGGAGCCTGGGCACCTTGCCACATGCCAAGGATGGCATTCCGTGCCTGCTGTGCCCTGTCCCAGAAACTCTAACTTGCACTTGTGTCCCCTCAGTGCTGGGGTTATCTCTTTGTATCCCTGTGAGGTAGGCGAAGCCCAGGATTCAAACTGTGCAGCAGAGGTAGCTGGACGGTGTTGCTGCTGGCCGTCCATCAGCCGCTCCGGTTGTATTGTGCCCAGGGTGCCTGAGGAGCCTGGGGCCGAGGAGCCTGCATCCCCGGAGGAGAGTTCGGGGCTGAGCCTGTTGCACCAGGAGAGCAAGCGCCGGGCCATGCTGGCCGAGGTGCTGGAGCAGGAGCTGGCCACGCTGGCGGAGAGTCTGCTCCTGGAGCAGGAGCAGGAGCAGGAGCAGGTGGGCGGCCCACCCTAGAGCCCCCTGGTGATCGAGTATGAACAGGACTCCTGCAGATGACCTCTCCACACCTCTCTCTCTGCCAGGATGGGGACGTTGGGTGGGGACTCCGGCTGACAACCCCTCTCTTCCTTCTCAGGGTTCCCATCTGGGCAGGGATCATGTGGAACAGCTGCTGCGCTGCCTCGGGGCGCACATCCACACTCCCAACCGCCGGCAGCTGGTCCAGGAGCTCCGGGCGCTGCAAGGGCAGCTTCGAGCCAAGGGCCTTGGGCCTACACTTCTGCACGGACCGCTCTTTGCCTTCCCGGATGCGGTGAGGGGGCTTTCTCGCAGTTAGGGCTACCCAGTTACACACAGTGAGCTCCCTGTGCCTGGAAATGTGTAAGGACTTTGTGTTCCAAGATTCTGTGTCTCTTCCCTGAAGACAGGGCCATCAGGAAAGGGACGTCTGCCCAGTCCTAGCTTCCCAGCCCTTTCCTTCACGCCAAGCCCGCCCACCCCACTTGCCTCCGCAGAAGACTTTCTGGCCTTTCCACCTCAAGCCCCGCCTCTCGTTGGGGCTCAGCAGTCTCAGCAGCGCTGTCCCTGCCCCCTGTCTAGGTGAAGCAGATCCTCCGCAGGCGCCAGATCCGCCCACACTGGATGTTCGTGCTGGACTCGCTGCTCAGCCGCGCGGTGCGGGCCGCCCTGGCTGTGCTGAGCCCGGGTAGGTGCGGGAGGGGCCCGGCCCGCGGCGAGGGTGTGGCCCTTGGGGGCGTGGCGAACACCAAACTGGTTGGGCAGTGGCGTGGCCTGTGGGGTCCGGGATCCACAGGAAGCGGCCGCAGCCAGTGGGGGCGTGGCTAAATGGACCCGACCCACACTGGGCCTGGCAAAGAGCCGGGTACGGGGCCCACACGCCCTCGCCGGTGTTTGGGTGTCCCAAACGGGCGTTCTTGCCCAGCCTGAGCTCACCCCACTCGGCCTGGCAGAGGTGGAGGAGGAGGCAGTCCCATCGAAGTCAGAGTTGAGTAAAGAGGGGGAGTCTCAGCAGAAGCAGCAGGAGACCCGGGTCCAGCAGAGCCCGCTCCCCCCGGAACCCGCGCAGGGCCCCCCACCTCTCATGGTGCAGCTGAGTCTCCTGCGAGCGGAGACTGATAGGTAAAGCCCCTCGGAATCGCCCATAGGCTCCTCGCCAGCGTCAACCCGCTCTCCACTCGCCACTTCATTCTACTCTCTGCCCTCCGACAGGCTTCGCCAAGTCCTGGCTGAGAAGGAACGTGAGTGCCAGGCCCTAGTGCAGCGGGCGCTGCAGCGGGTGAATGCGGAGGCCAGGGCCGACGCCCTGGCCTCAGAGCCCCCAGGTGAGCGACTTGGCTGGAGAACTCTAGTGGTGGGTGTGGGGCAGCTTCTAGCAGGAGGCACACCAGGCTCATCACCTGACTTCTTGACAGCTGCTCTCCCAGCGGACCAGGGCCTGGTGCAGTGGCTACAGGAACTGAGTGTGGATTCAGCCACCATCCAAACGGTGAGGAGGGCTGCTGGCTATCCCTAATCCCAAGAACCACAGACTCCATCTCTGTCTGTCTTTCAGCTCTTCTTACTGTTCCCTCTGATGCAGAGAATCTCAAAAATGGAAGAGCACTTAGTATACTCCTCCCATTGTACAGATGAGAAAACTGAGCCCCAGAAAAAGGGGGAGATTTGCCTCAGTATTTTTGCAATAGAAAGGAACTAGTACCTGGGTCTTTGGACACATCTTTCTGGAATTTTATCTGTTCCTGTTTCTGTGGGTCTTTGTCCACAACCAGCTGCTGAACCACAGCTTTACCCTCCATGCCCTGCTCACCTGTGCCACTCGAGATGACCTCATCTACACCCGCATCAGGTACATCTTGGGCCCTTCAGGGATGAACCATCCATATGGCCTCATGCTGGCCAGCTACAGACCTGTCTAGGTTCTTCCCTGTAAACCACAGGGACACTTGGGTCCCCTGAGGACAGAGGGGGCATTGGGCAGACAGTGGGTACCAGAGAGAGCCCAGGGCCTTCTGGCTGAGCCACATTGAGCCCACTGCCCCCAGGGGAGGGATGGTATGCCGCATCTGGAGAGCCATCTTGGCACAGCGAGCAGGACCCATGCCAGTTACCCCTGGACCCCGGGAAGCTGAGTGAACACATCAGAGGCAGGACAGACGCAAGGACGGATGCCTGGAGAAGATGCAAGCTGCTTCTGAAGTGCCCACCCCAAGACCCATGGCAACTGCAGGAGGCCAGGCTGGTGGGGGCCAGGCTAGGGCCCAGGCACCAACCAGTGGGGGGAATCAACCAGAGGCACCCAAGCACACTGAGCACTACCAAACAGAGTTTATTAAACAGCACACTTTTGTACCCTTGTCCTGACAATTTTGGAGGGGTGTGTGTGGGTATCCTAGGAACAGCCCCAGGGTCTTTGTGTCAGAGTCTGAAGTTCCTTAATCTGGCCTCTCACTTCTCTGGCTCTTTCCTGCCATCACTTTCCCTCCTCTCTTTCCCAGCAGACACCAGCCCCTATTTCCCTCAAAGCAGACTACTGACTTTAGCTAAGGGCAGATCCTGAGAAGGAGGTCCAGGGAGGGCTACGTCCTGGGGGCCAGGTTGGTTCTGAGGGGTAGACGGCCATCCACCCACTCGCACGGCTGCTCCAGGAGTGTCTGCCACAGCCGCTTCTCCTCAGGTGTGGAATCCATCCAGGGCACCTCGAGCCCGTAGCTGCTGCCTGGATGTGGGCGGGCAGGGTGGAGGGCTTGGTCATGCTGGGTACCTCAGGGCCCAAGAAACACCCGCCTGGTCCCAGATTATGCACTGTTTCCGGTCACTCCCAGTTCTCAGTGGACTCCAAAGCTCAGGAAAGGGCAGAGAAGTGCCCAAGGCCACAGTGTTGGCTCCCCTCAGGGCCCTGCCCTGCTTACCGGTGCCCAGGCTGAGGCGTGTGCCCCCCAGCTGGCGGCTGGCCAGGGCCCCGTGGTCCCAGAGGGAGAGCTCAGCACAGGCCTGGCGCAGGTCAGCAGGCCCAAAGCCGTCGTAAACCATGGTGTGGTTGAACACGGGGCTGAGGCTGCGACGCACCACCCTGGTACGCTGGCGACTGGCCCGGCTGTCATCAGGCAGCACCGAGCTGTGGGGAAGGGGGCTGGCATCAGGTGACCACCACCCCCTCACACTTCCCTAGAGGCAACCAGTCACCAAGTCTCACTGATTCTCCCTCACATATGTCCATGTCCCCTGGCTCCTGCCTGAGACCTGGCCTCAAGCCCTCACTGCCCTGGGGCCTTTGCACCAGCCTCCTCTCAGGGCTCCTGCCTTTTTTTTTTTTTTTTTTTTTTTCAGTCTCACTGTCAGGAGTGGGCAGGGCCAAGCATTCGTCACCACTTTCTGCCCGTGTGTCTCTTGTGGGCAGCAGGAGGGCCCAGCGGCTCAAGTAATCCTCCTGCCTCAGCCTCCCGAGTAGCTGAGACTACAGTCATGCACCACCATGCCCGGCTAATTTTTTTTTTCTATATATATTAGTTGGCCAATTAATTTCTTTCTATTTATAAGGGCTCCTGCCTTTCAAAGATTCAACTCCTATTCACAGGACCCTAGAGTGATGTCTCTGAAATGCAATTCTGCTACTTCCTGGCTCAGTGACTTTCACTGGCTCCCTGTTACCCAGCCTTCCCCATCTAGTTTCCAAGGTTTTCAAAGCCTCAGAACTCTTTCTACAAAATAAAATATTGCTCAAAGGTACAATACCTGAAAGAAAAACAATGCCTCTGGCTGAATCGGGGTTAGGAGCTCAGAACAGGATTGGTCTACCTCCATTTCTCTTTCTGAGGGTGGGGCAGCACCTGGAGGCACCCCTAGAGGTACTCCTGAAAGCTTACTTTGAAAACCACTGAATTACAAGTTCAGGGCCAAGCCCCAGAGCCTAGCCTTCCAGGTTCTCCATGGAGGGACTCCTGCTGCTTCTCAGCCTCAGCTCTCCAAGTCTTATAGGCCCCAGGCACCCTGAAATGCAGCTCCTCAAAGGTGTCCTCAGTTTTCCTGACTCCAGGCATTTGCTCAAGCTGGCCCCTTCACCCTTGCTCAGCTGTCAAAGGGGGGTCAAGGGTTGATTGCTAGGGGTTCGGAGGTTGGGAGCTCCACTGCAAAAGGAAGGAAAGCAGGGAGCGTCCTGTGCGCTCACCATTGCACGTAAGTGTCCAGGGATCCCGAGCGCAGGGGGATGAGGTCCTGAGCTTCCTTCACCCAGAAGTGCAGCTCCCCGCTCGGGGGCAGTCCCGCGCCTGCGGAGAGGCTCTGCTCAGGCCCGCCCCCCAGAAAGAGTCCACCTCCCGCCGGCAGGAGTCTCCCGCCTCCCAGGGCCAGTCCAGCTTTGCCTCTTGCGGGGCGGTCACTCACCCTCCGAGCCGGCGGGGACATACTTGAGGGACAGTGAGAGCAGCCCGCGGCTGGAAAGCTCGTCGGGAGAGGGTGGGACCTGCGGGAGGTGGGCTCGTCGTGGGGTGGGTGCAGGGCCTAAGGGAAAGGGCCTCAGCGGGGTGGGGTCTCTATCACCAATGGCGTGTGGTTGGCGGGGGCAGGGCCTCCAGAGCAGGGCCCTGGGGACCCTAGCACCCGCAGGCAAGGGGCCTGAGGTTGTGCGGCCAGGGGAGGCTCTGGAAAGCCGGGTAGGGTGAAGGCGGGAGATCTGTGCCGCAGGTCCTCCCACGCGCCCGCCTGCCTCACCCGCGGCTGTAGGGGGAGCCAGGTGGGCTCCGAGTCCCAATTCCACGTGTCCAGGGGCACTTCGACTTCACCCAGAAAGATGTTGCGACCCAGGCTTTCACGGTGCCACACCGACAGGCTCAGCACGCGGCCCGGGAGCTCGGCCTGCGGGACACAGTACTGGGGACAGGAGGTGCGTTTTTGGAACGGAGCAGCGCTGGCGGCCCGGAGTGTTGATTGGGGCGGGTCCTACCTCGCTCCTAGCAGGCTGGACTCCTAGGGAGCCTCGAAGGGCATTAATGGGGTCCTGGAGTATCACCACGCCTACACAAGACTAACAAACTGGGCTGGACTGAAGGTCCCGAGTTCCTTCAATTGATTGTTCAGTTACAAATGGAACTCCTTTTTCTACTGTTTCTCCCTTTCTCACTACTGCACTGGACTAGTCTTTTTTTTTAAAAAAAAAAACGGGGTCTCGCTCTGTCTCCCAGGTTGGAGTGCAGTGATCATCCTAGCCCACTGTCACCTCAAACTCCTGGGCTCAAGCGATCCTCCTGCCTCAGCCTCCCAGGTAGCTGGGACTACAGGCTCATGCACGCCACCATGCCCGGCTAATTTTTCTAATTTTTAGTAGAGACGGGGTGTCGCTCTGGCTCAGGTTGGTCTCGAACTCCTGGCCTCAAGCGATCCTCCCACCTCGGCCTCCCAAAGCGTTGGGATTACAGGCGTGAGCCACTGTGCCCGGCCTTAACTAGTTTAAAAAACAAGTTTTTTTAAAGACTGACACAATGGGGAACGCGTTAACGGGGGCCTCCCTGCTCTGGCAGAATGGAGGGTGCCCCTGCCACGCCGCCCCGCAGGAAGGCACATTCTGCTCATTAAAGGCCCCGCACCGTCGTCGCGGCCTTACCCGCAGAGTCTCGTTGAAGACCGGGTTCAGATTCCGTTTCTTCACCGCAGTCTTGCGCTTGCTCTGCTTGTCCGGGAGGAGGTAGCTTTTGACGTAGCTGGGGCGGGGGAGGTGAGGGCCCGCGGTCAGGGGGGCCCTGCCAGCCTGCGGCACCCCCGACCCCACCCCCGGCCCTGGGCCTCGTGCTGCAGGCGTCTTACGGGATCACCTCCCGCAACCCCACGCCTCCCACACGCGGCCATTCCCATTTTGAAGATGAGGAAGCCGAGGCCGAACAAGCTGAGAGGCGAGTTGGGCGGTGGGAGCCGCCCCCTCGCGCCCCCGCGCCGCCCGGAGGGGAGCCGGCCGGGCACTCACGGGTCGGAGCGGCGGCGCCGCGCGGCGGCCAGGCCCTGGCACTGGATCACGTGCACGCGCAGCTCGGCGGCGCCCGGCTCGTAGTGCAGCGCGAAGTGCACGGAGCCGCGCACCGGCACCGCCTCGGCCTCCCCCGACAGGCTCACGAGGCTGCCGCTCAGCTGCGGGGGGAGGGCGGCAGTCAGGGCGCGCGGGGCTCACGTCGGGGCTGGGGGAGCGCAGCGGTTCAGACCCCGGCATGGGGGCGAGAGCGCTGCGTCCCGGGGCGAGGGGGGGGTCCGGCTGGAGCTGTACGGGGAAGGAGGACGCGCCCACCTCCCCGCCCCCCCTGGCGCTCTCCCTCACCCCCTCACCGTGGAGGAGTTCAGGCTGGACACCGAGGAGCTGCTGCTGAGCATGCGGTCCAGTGCGGGGCCAGAGCCCGGGGCCTCCTCCCCGTTCTCCAGGATCTTGGGTGCAGCCTTGGTCCGGAGAGGGGAGAAGTGGCAGGGGCGCCCCCTCTTTCCCTTCCCCTCCCCCGACCGCACGGGGTCGCAGATGGCTCGTAGCCCTGGGAGGAGCACTCCCCGCCCTGAATCCGCTCCGGGTCTTGAGAGCAGCCGCAGGCCGCTCCCGCCTACCTGGTCTGGGGCGGGCAGCGGCTCCTTCTCTACCCGCGACGCGGGCTCCAGCTCCTGGTCCGCCTTCTCCTCGCAGACCTGCACGCCCCCATGGCCGGGGGCTGGAGTGGAGCACCGGCTGCTGAGCGAGCCCCTCTCCTGCCCGCCCTTGAGCAAATGTGGAGGGACTGGTTTACAGCCCTGGTGACCTGCAGATTCAGGCCCCAGTGCTGCCCAGTGGTTGCCCACGGAAGCCACACGGACCCCCCCACACACACACACAACGCGGGAGGAGGGTGAACACAGGTGTTTGGGGCCAGTTAGAGCTGCCTCTGATCCCTGAAGCCTCTCTGTGCCCCCACACATGCTCCCACTCACCTTCCTGGGCCTGGGGCTCCTCCTCCTGATCTGAAGCCTTTAGGGGGACATATGGCGGTGGGAAATCAGGTCCCTGAAGGAAGGGAGGGGTAGAGGTCACAGTGGGGGGCTAGTGAGGAAGGGTCAAAGGTCATGCTGGGGTGAACCTGTCAGAGGCTCCTGCCAGATACCCCAGCTTCAGATTTAGGGCAGCCCTCAGGGCAGAGCTGCAGGACCAGTCAGACCTGTACTTCACACCCCTCACACCTTGCCTGCCAGGCCCAACTCCCAGGCTCTCACTGCGTTTGGTGTGGGGGGTGGCACTGTACCGCCTGAGTCCCCAACCTGCCCCTCTCTTAATATTCACAAGTGCCCTTAGAGGCCGGGTCCACACCACCCTTTCACCAAGGAGGATGCTGAGGCCCAGGCAAGGGGTGGGGTGTCCCAGGTCTCCTGCTTCCCTGGCTCAGGCTCCTTTCCAGAGACATTCCGCCTCCACTCCAGGGGCACTGTGTACTCATTTAGTAACTCCTGCCGTCGTTACTCACCTCAGTCTCCTGGAGCCTCTCTTGGGGGGCCTCATCTATGGGGGGCCTATGAGTAGGGAGACATAGTTTCAGGGAGGAGACCCGGGTGGCCAGTAGGCAGCTTCTCTCCTCTCCCAAGTTGAGTCCTCACCTGGGCTCTGGCTCCTCTTCGTTCTCTTTCCCAGCAGCCTCAGCCTCCCCATCGCTGCCCACAGCCTGGTCCCCTGGGCCCAGGTGAGAAGCTCCGTGAGCCCCCTTCTCAGGAAGTGTGCCTGTGACTCACAGCAGAGGCCCTTGGAGATGCCCGCCCACCTCCCATAGCCCATGGAAGGGTACTGCCCACCCAAAGACACACAGTATTGGGGCAGCCAGGACAGGAGCCCAGAGGCCCTCTCTCCCTGTCCCCAGATAGCACCCTGGACTGCAAAGGCTTGCCCACCCGGGATCTCCCCTCACCCCTGGAGCTCTTCTTCCTGCGGATAGAGGCTCGGACAAGGTCAGAACCGAAGTGTGCATGGTGGTGGCGTTGGGAACGTGCTTCCTGGAACCAGTCCCCTGTCAGGATCTTCAGCTGCCCAGGGTCCACCAGCGAGGCCCGGAGCTTGCTAGAGGATGGAGGACAGTGTGGCTGTCACTACTCACCCAACCAACATTCCTGCCACCCATTCTGTACCAGGCTCTGTACAGGGACCAGGGACCCAGCAAGTCTGATTTGCTAATCAGACTTGATCTGTGCGCTGGAGGAGCCCAGGCTGCTGGGGAGATGAGCCCAGAAGGGACAAGCACACTATAGTGAGGTAGGTAATGTGACAGATGTAAGAAGGGCCAGCTCTGCCTGTGGGAATCCAGGAGGGCTTCCCAGAAGTGGTGACATTTGAATTGCTTAAAAAACAAATCAGAATTCTCCAGGTAGAGAAGGATAACAATTAGGTAATTACTGTGGACCATACTTGCATAATCACTCTTAATTCTGTGAGGTAGGACCTCTGAGCCCCATTTTACAGATGAGGAGTGTGGTACTCAGGAAGGTCAGGTAAGTTGCCCAAGGTTACATAGCTAGGAAGTGTCTGTCCCCAAATGCTGCTTGGAATGCCCATGCTCCCCTGCCACTGTGCTCTTCCAGGAAGAAGGAACAGCACAGGATTGGAAGTGACAGGTGTGTTCAGAGGCTGAGGAGCAGCCGGTGCTGTGGATACTTTGTGTGCGTGTGTTGGGTGGGAGTTACCGAGAAAGATGAGATGGGGGAGGCTGGCATGGACCAATCAGAGAGGCCTTGTGGACAGCCTGGCAGGGGGTGGGTTTCAGTAGGGATATTAAGGACAGATCTGGGCGGGGCGCGGTGGCTCATGCCTGTAATCCTAGCACTCTGGGAGGCCAAGGTGGGCAGATTGCTCCAGGTCAGGAGTTCAAAACCAGCCTGAGCAAGAGTGAGACCCCGTCTCTACTATAAATAGAAAGAAATTAATTGGCCAACTAATATATATAGAAAAAATTAGCCAGGCATGGTGGCACACGCCTGTAGTCCCTACTTGGGAGGCTGAGGCAGGAGGATCGCTTGAGCCCAGGAGATTGAGGTTGCTGTGAGCTAGGCTGACGCCACAGTACTCACTCTAGCCCGGGCAACAAAGTGAGACTCTGTCTCAAAAAAAAAAGGACAGATCTGGGCAGCTCCAGCCACAGCATGGCAGGTGGGCTGGAGGGAGGCTGGCAAGGGAGCTGGTGCAGCCACCCCAGGAAAGGTGATGAGCTCTGAGCTGGCCAAGGCCAGAGGGGACCAAAGGGTGAAACCAAGAACCACTCAGACATCTGCCAGGCAGCATGTTGGGAGCCACTCAAGCCTCCTAGTGCTCCCCTGGCCTGGTCTTCCTGTCTCACCTGACCCGCCCCTCCTCCAGCTGGCGCAGGTGGGCATCTCGCTTGAGGACCTCAGCAATGGCCGCTTGCTCCTCCTCCGTCAGGAAGCTGAGGTCCAACAGTCCTTCAGCCTCAGGCTCTGGCCCATGCTCCATGGGGAGGGAGGGCAGGGCCCAAAGCCCCTCTTGAGATGGGTGCCCCCTCTGGGGCATCAGCTGGAGCCGTGCCCCAGCTGGGCACGTGTAGCTTCCTGGGGGCAGAACAAGGGCCAGGTTGAGCCCTGCACAAATACACAGCACATCCTGGAGCCAACTGCCCTTTTCTCCCCAAACATATGCGCAGGTGGTGGGTAGCGTACAACCCCAGGAAGGCTGAGGTCAAGGTGGGGTGAGATGCACCCATGGACATATGCATACACTGGCCCATGAACACTCAGGAACACAATCAAAGAAGTGTGCAGAGACATGCATGCACACACTGATTCATGTAGGCACAAAAACCCACAGTCACGCATGCACACTGATACCTATATAGACAGGCACACACACCTGTTCCCCATGAAGGAACCTATGCAGACACAGGCAGAAACCTATGCCCAAGAGAGAGACGTGTGCACACATCCTAAACCTGTACATGGCATGTGCACGTAAGGGTGGACAGGTGCCCACCCAGATAGGTTCACTTATACAAAAATAAGTTGGGGGACAAACATGTCCCTAGATATACACACACAGACTTTTGCACACCTACACTGCCCACCTAACTGGGTTGTGAGCTCCTTGAAGGTGGGGACAGTGAATCACCCTCAAAGCCACTACTTTGCACACAACAGATGGTTGGTACAAGTCTGATTAATTAAATACAGAACTACACCTGCACACCCGGGAATGCACACACACGACCACCCACCCACGCAGACACACAGACATACACACACACCTGCTCACCCCCTGCTCTGGCAACCTACCCCCCAGCTCCCCCCCTTCGCCCTTCACCTCCACCCTGCCCTGGCCCATTTGCCTTCCTGTCTGAGGCAACCTCCTCCCTAGCCCACACCCCCACTTCCTCCCCCGAGGTAACTGCTGCACCCAAGCCTACTGAGGCCTCCAGTCCAGAGATGCCCCTGCTGCCAGCCCTGCCCTCTTGCCCAGAAGCCATGAGCCCCTCTGCTCCAGCCACATGGTCCCCCGGCTCCTGCCCTGGACCTGGCTGGGGCCCCGGCAGTGCAGGCCTAGGCTGGCAAAGCAGCTCGTGCCCAGGTACCACAGTGACTCCGGAAGGAAAACATTTGCCCAGTCCTGAGGGGCGTGTGGACGTGGCAAGGGGCCCATGACTCGGCCACAACTGTGGCCTGAGCCCACTGGGCGGTCTTTCCTTTCCTCCCGCCCCTTCCATGCCAGGGCTGCAGGTGGGGCTAGGATGGAAGAGGGCGGCTCTGAAGGCAGGTCCTGGCTTGTGCCTGCCACCTCCTGCCTCCTGCGGCTCTGTCCCCTCCCAGCTGAGTCAGTGTCCAAGCCCAGGTGAGCCCTCTCCCCACAATGACCCGTCCCAGGAGCCTGGCGTTTCTGCGCGTCCATATGGTATATAACACTGACTGCGTGAATGCCCGTGTGCTCAACACTGACAACTTTTCTGAACTTTTATGTCCAAAACGCTGAGTGTTGCAAATGCACAGTTTGGGCCCTTCTGTGGAATGGCGCGTGAGCCCCAGTTTCTGTCTCGGCTGCGTTGCCTGGTGTGCAAGTCTGGGCGTGGTGGGCGTGTCCGTGTACTGTGGAGTTTATTTGCAGTTTGCGAGTGTGAACGTTGTCTCACTGTGTGTGCGTGTGTGTCGCGTTGCAGTGTGATGCTGCATGGGGGACTACATTGTGTGTTGTGTTCAGTGACTTTCTGGGTGATAGTGTTATGTGGGTGTGTGCACAGCGTGCATTTCCTCCTGTGCTGTATGTGTGACTGGGCGACTGGGCTATGTATTGTGGTGTGTCCTCTGGTGCTCCAGGGGCCACCAGCTATGTGGGTCTGAGGGTGGAAGTGGGGGGATGTTCGGCAGCCCTGAGCCTGGGCTGGACCATGGGCATCTGAGCCCAGTGTCCCCAGAAGCAACCCCGAATCCAGTACCTAGTCCTCCCTGCTGTTTCAACACTAAAGGACAGACCCGCAGGTCAATAGGAGGGTCTGTCCATCTGCCCGCTGTTCCAGTCCCAGACATGCTCCCGCCTCCCCCACCCCTAAGGTCCCAAGGTGCCCAAGGGTGCTCAGGATTCCAGGTGGCAATGCCTGCCCCTCTGGACTCTGACAGGGGACCCTAGCACCAAGGTGTTACCTGTAGGAGTCCAGTATGGGAGGACACTTTCCTAGGAGGCTCCAGCTCCCCTGGGCCAAGTTTCAGGGACCTGGAGAAGAGCAGTTCGCGACTAAGGCTGACTCAACCCGGGGCCCACAGCAGCTGCCCCACCGCCGAGGGGGAGGAAACACCTCTGCAGGGCTCGATGCAAAACCAGGCCTGGATTCCCAGCTCCCTGGGGACACACCCCTGCAGCGGACTGGAGAGCCCCGGGCTTGGCCCCAGCTCCACTGCAGACTCAGGGGAATGGGAGCAAGCCCCAAGCCCTCTGTGGAATGCACACCAGTCCACCCTGCCCCCAGAGCTGATAGGAACTTGCTTTGAGAGCAAAGTTAGAAACCTTTCTTTGTAAGCATCTGGGTAACAGAAGGATTGCAGACTTTGCAGGTATACAACCCAGTTCTGCCGGTGTGGGACCTTGTGCAGGTCTCTTAACCTCTCTGAGCAGCAATGTCTTCTCATAGCAGAGTGCAAGAGGCCTATTATAAGGGAAATGAGGTGGGGCGGGTGGCTCACCCCTGTAATCCTAGCACTCTGGGTTGCCTAGGTGGGAGGATTGCTTGAGCTCAGGAGTTAGAGACCAGCCTGAGCAAGAGTGAGACACCTGTCTCTACCAAAAAGAAAATAATAATAATAATAATAATAATAATAATAATAATAATAGACCAGCCTGAGCAAGAGCAAAGATCATGTGTCTACTAAAAATAGAAAAAATTAGCCGGGTGTGGTGGTGTGTGCTTGTGGTCCCAGCTACTCGGGAGGCTGAGGCAGGAGGATTGCTTGAGCTCAGGAGTTTGAGGTTGCAGTGAGCTATGATGACACCACTGCACTCTACCCAGGGTGACAGAGCAAGACTCTGTCTCAAAAAAAAAAAAGGAAGTAAAAGTGAAGCTGGCAGATAGCTGGTGGCAGGTGTGCTCTCTTCAACACAGTCCAGTGTCTAGTACCTGTGGTCATTTCAGCACCCCTCCATGTCCACATACACCTCTGGGAAGTGCTGGCCACAGCAGAGTAGCTCTCTCTGTCCCCTCTGCCAATCTGGGCCCTGTCTGTTTGGGAATGGACTCTTCTAGTGCCAAGGTGAGGGTCCCACACCCTTTATGGTAGTCCCTCTGAGCACCCTATTCTCTCCCAGAATTTGGGCCCTAGATTACATTGGCTCCAGGACCATGAACTACTGGAGCTATCTTTTCTTTCTTTCTTTTTTTTTTTTTTGAGACAGAGTCTCACTCTGTTGCCCAGGCTAGAGTGAGTGCTGTGGCGTCAGCTTAGCTCACAGCAACCTCAAATTCCTGGGCTCAAGCAATCCTCCTGCCTCAGCTTCCCAAGTAGCTGGGACTACAGGCATGCGCCACCATGCCCAGCTAATTTTTTCTATATATTTTTAGTTGGCTAATTAATTTCTTTCTATTTTTTAGTAGAGATGGGGTCTCATTCTTGCTCAGGCTGGTTTCGAACTCCTGACCTTGAGCAATCCACCCACCTCGGCCTCCCAGAGTGTTAGGATTACAGGCGTGAGCCACCACGCCTGGCCTACTGGGGCTGTCTTTGTCCTGGTCTTGGGCACAAGAGGCCAAGCCAAAGCTCCCTGACTGTCCCTAAGTCTACCTCTTTCCTCACTGCCTGCCCTGACGCCCCCTTCCCTGTACCTGGGGCTATGGATTAAAGATTAGGGGATGCCTCACAGAGGAGCTGTGGCAAGGGGTGGATTTTAAACCCTACTCTTCCTCAGAACTGGCTCCTGAATGTTTCCACCTCTGAAAGACTGGAGGTCCCTTCTCCACCCAAGCCCAATGTCCAGCCTTCCTTATTTGTTTTTTGCAAGTTGATCTTATTTTCGGAGCCTCTTTTCTCTCATCCGTTAAATGGGGGCAACAATCCCTCCTCAGAGGGTTTTCACTACCATGAGATCCCAGCAGACCCTTACTACAGATATGCATTTAGATGTGCAACACCCTCTGAGTGGGCACCGTGGGAGCATTACTGGGACAGGATGATGACTCCTCAGTCAAGGCCCTGACATGGAAGAACGGCCAACAGCATCCTCACTTCCCACCCGCTGTCCTGGTCGCAGCTCCCCACAAGGATGATTCTCTAGCCGCCCCCCCCCCCCAGCCCCTGGAGGCAGGGTCTTCACTGGTCTTCAGGCTTCTAAATTTTCCTTTTCTGCTCTCCTGTCCTGCCTCTAGCTGTGACTCTCCGGGACTCCAATTATTTCCAGCCAACTTGCCTGCTGTCATCTCAACCCAACTTCATCTGGCCCCCTTCACCTGAAACCTCTTATTCCCAAGTTTCCACGTTGGTAGCCAGCCCCCCTGGTCCTGGCCCCCAGGCTTCCTGCCCATCTCTTTCCCACCTTGCCCCTCGGTCTACCCAGGTCTCAGTCCCTGCTCAGCCTCTTCCGAAAGCTTCCTCTTCTCTGGCCTCCTGGCTGCCACATCTGGCCCCTCCAGCCCTTCATTGCACAGCTGTCAGAGGGCCCTTAGGAACATACCACTTTTCTGTCATTCCTTGGGTCTGGAAGGTGCTGCCAGATAGTCAGGGTAACCCTTGGCACATTCACAAATCTCTAAGCCAGTCCAGCCCCCTTGGACATGTCACTGACAGACGCCTTACCACCTTCCAGGACAGCCCATCCCTCAGCCTGACCCACAGGATCGTCATTGTAAATCTGGCTGACTGTCCCTCGTCCTATGCCTTAGCTATGAGCTCTACTTCCTGTCCCTTCAACACCTAGGTCCTTTGGTCCTTTTGAGCTGCCTGCTCAACTGTGGGATGCTTCCCCCAGCCAGCCATCCACACCGCTCCAGGCCTAGCTCAGCCTCCGCCCGAGTTCAGTGTCTCTGCACTGCAGCCAGTCTCCAGGCAACGTCCTTTGGTTACGTGGCAGGGTCCTGGAGGCCAGCAGATCTGGGTTAAAATTCCAGCTCTGCCACCTGGTTCCCTTGTGGCCTTGGATCAATGACAATCTCTGTAAGCCTTACTCTCTCCCTTTATAAAGCGTGGGCAATAGCAGCCATCTCACAGGACTGTTGGAAGGACTGCTTCCTTTTTTTCACCTCCGCATCCATCCTCCCTTCTTTTTGGTCACAGCACCCACAACATCCTTTGCAGAAGCAGCCCCTCTCCACTTGCACCCTCGTGCTCCAGCGAGGCTGTCTCAAAGGGTGGGTCCAAGTGGAGGCTGGGAGCCAGGCTGCCGGCTGAGCCATGGCTCCTGCCATCTTGAGCAGGTCACTTTATTGCTCTGTGCTTACTTCTTCATCTGCAAAATGGAATGATAACACTTACCTTGAAGGGCTGTTGTGAGGATAAATAAGCCAATACTTTATTACAAGGTAGTTAGTAAGCACTCAGTAACTATTGGTGACTTTCATGGCACCTGTTTATGTCCTGTTTGTCCAAGGCCAATTTTAAGTTCTGCTGTGCTAAAGCAGCCTCAAAACTTTTTTTTTTTTGAGAGAGTCTCGCTTTGTTGCCTAGGCTAGCGTGAGTGCCGTGGCGTCAGCCTAGCTCACAGCAACCTCAAACTCCTGGGCTCAAGCAATCCTGCCGTGTCAGCCTCCCGAGTAGCTGGGACTATAGGCATGCACCACCATCCTGGCTAATTTTGTCTATATATATTAGTTGGCCAATTAATTTCTATTTATAGTAGAGACAGGGTCTCGCTCTTGCTCAGGCTGGTTTTGAACTCCTGACCTTGAGCGATCCGCCCGCCTTGCCCTTCCAGAGTGCTAGGATTACAGGTGTGAGCCACCGTGCCCGGCCTCAAAACTTTTTTCTATCTACTCTTCTGTGGTTTTTCTATCTATTCTTCAGTCCTCAGTACTGAACTTATCTCCTCTAGTCAACTCTCAGATATAACCAATATGCAAAGCAGGTGTAAAAATTTTTTTTTGAGACAGGGTTTTGCTCTGTCACCCAAGCTGAAGTGCAATGGCACTCTCTTAGATCACTGCAACCCTGATCTCCTGGGCTCAAGTGATCCTCCCACCTCTGCCTCCTAAGTGGCTTGGACTACAGGTGTGCACCACTGCATCCAGTACAAACAGGTTTTTGAAAATGGAATTGCTGTGGTCAGGAGAGGACACCTGTGCCTTGTCCTGAAGTCCCAAGCTTGGAAGCCACAGCACTGCAGGGCCTGGGGTAAGCTGGCAGACGCCTGATCCAGGGCCCTAATGGCCAGCTGCTAGAGCCTGTCCTCAAGGCCATCCTCAGGATGAGCACCAAGGATTCAAAGACCACATCCTTGGCTAGCTCAACTGAAGTGACAAGTGGGCAGGATAGGGAAAGACTTCACCAAGGAGGCTGCTTTCGGGAAGGCAGGCCACGATTTTAACTGGTAGAAAGCAAAAGACTGGGCAAGTGCCAGGGAGCTGGGTGTGCAGAGCATAACGAGCTTGGGGAGCCTTGAAGGCCACTGCCATGGAACAGGGCCATGACACAATCACGAGGGCCAGCATGAGTTCAGCCATGTGACTGATGGATGCGGCAGGGCTGGGGGCTGGCAGTTCTCTTGGCTTATCCCAAACTATGCACCTCTGGAGGAGAAGACAGGTCCAGGGCCCTGGTCTGCCCAGTGTAAGTCCTGTTCAGCCCCAACCCTAACCCTACTGCCAAGTTCTTCCCAACACGGGAGATGGGACAGGTTTGAATACTCCTTTGCCTTAAGGAGACAGCTTTGGAACGGTGGATGCGGAGTGACGGGGATTCCCACAGCCTGGGCACCAGGCAGCATATACCTGACGGATGCTGGTGGCACTGCAAGCTCCAGGCACTTAACACAGACCCAACCATGGGGCTGGCGACCAGACCCCTTGCCAAGGGGAGAAAAGCTGAGGGGCGAGGGGTCCACAGAGGAAGGACACAATGCAGAGCACCACCGGAGTCAAACTCTTTATTTCCCTGCCCAGGGAGTCCCTCACAAGGGAACCTGCAGAGCAGGAGGGCGGGGTGGGTGGCACAGGGCCCTTCATGACAACTTGAAGGAGGAGCGACAGTCAGGTGGGGAAACAGCCCCCCTGCTCCCTGATGGCACTGGCTGTGCTGGCCACTGTATTTTGGACCCACGGGGAGCCATCACCAGCACGAGGCCCACACTTTGGG